TACATTAATGCAAGACTAGAATTGTTTTCTCTCTGTTAAATAACACATTGATCTTGGAGTGTTCAGCCTGCTCTGAAAAAGAAGTTGCAAAAATTCTTCTTTCTCCCCTAGAGAGCCTGCACAGTTGTCAGAAATTCTGGACCTCATCATAATAATGTTCTGTGCTTTCTGTTGAATTGGTTATGCCCTCAAATATTAAATAAGCAAAAAATACTTGCTGATGAATGCATCAATGTTACTTACAAGTGTGTTACTTCCTGCATTGTTTATTCTTTTTGCACTGTCAACACTATATACCAATTACACCAGGCATCCATGCATTCATGCTTCATCCTAACCCAATGATCAGGCCAGGCATGGTCGCACACATCTGTAATCCCAACAGCTCAGAAGACTGAGGCAGGAGGATCACGAGCTCAAAGCCAGACTCAGTAAAAGCAAGGTGCTAAGCAACTCAGTGAGACCCTATCTCTAAAATATAAAATAGGGCTGGGGATGTGGCTCAGTGGTTGAGTCCTGCTGAGTTCAATCCTCTGTACCAAAATAAAAAGAACTCAAATGACTGATTTTCTCAGATAAATTTTTAAACTTTCTCTCCCCAAATCAGGTCCTAAATTCAGAAAAATAAAAATTCAAAGATGTCTTTTATGGATTCTCTCAGAAGACCACTGGACAAGCAAAAATATTTTTTCTTTTACTTTAAAGAAAGAAGGGTGCTTTAAAAAGAGTTTTGTTTACTGTGTTCCATGTTCTTAAGTATCTCAGTGCTATTTTAAGAGCTTCATGATAAGAGCTGTCTGAGCAAAAGGAATTCATCCATCCCTAGGCTAATTACATGTTATCAAAATCCAAATCATTTAAAATTATTTCAGAGATCACATATGCCACGTGATAGATTGGAAAACACTGGAGATTTGTCAGTGCCTTCAATGGTCATAAAATGTTCTTACTCTTTGGGAAACAGCAATCAAATTCTCCTAAAATAGTTCTGTATTACACTTCAATGGATAACCTACTCTCCTCCATTATGACATTGCTGGTTATGGTAATAAATAAATCTACAGTAGCCATTCAACCTTACATGTAGCATCTGTTTCCCTCTGATATTTGCCTGAAGAGCTTGCCATAAGGCATATGGCTTTTAAAAAAAAAAGTATCTTCATCAAAGAGGGGCAGGCTCAAAGCCTCATGAATGACACTAAATATTTTTTATGTTTTATTAGTGCACTACAGTTATACATTACAGTGGGGTTCGTCTTGACATAAGCATACATGAGTGGAATATATTTTGTTCCATTGAAGTCCCCAGTACTTCCTCTTTCCTCCTCTTCTCCCTTCCCTCATTCCTCTTTCTCTATACAGTTACTTCAAAAAACCAACCCACAAGGATGGGCTCCTAAGTAGATATTGATTGGACAACAGTCAGTTCAATTAGCAGATTGAGTCAGGATTTCTAGTACTATTCTAGTCCATAACAAAAGCACTTCATGAAACCTGAATGTTAACCCAACATCCATCAGAACAAAAATAAATTATAAATAGGATTGCATAAGATAATAAGGGAAATAAAGGTGCAAAATGATTCTCATTGGAGGGCTTGAAGAGGAGGCTTTCCTCAGTCATTCATTTAAATATAATTGGTATTATTTTAGTATGCTATTTTTATAGTTTTATAATATAACCCTTGCTTTTTTCCTCTTAATCAGATTGTAGTATTTAATTTAGTAAAATATTCTTTAAACACTTATGTTCTTATTAACTCAGGGGAAAACACTCCTAAGTCTCTGTACTTTTTGATAACAATGAAGCTGTTTTCAGAGATTTGATATGATATGTCCTCCTTTTCACCAGGATATAATTTGAAAACCTAGTTGTGCAACAGAATTATTTGAATTTCCTGGAACATCATGTTTGAGAAACATTTTATTTAGTTAGGCATTTCAAGTCCATTTTTAAGGAGCAAGCTACTCACAAAGCTATCTTAGAAAATTGATCTGGTACCTGTTCTGTGTAAGGAAGGCTATTTCCTGACAATCCAGGAACTTCAGCAGATTCAGGGACCTTGAGAAAATAATACTTATTATGTACATGGATAGACTCCATTGGCGAAAACTGGTGGAAATAAATTGAACCTGGGGGCACTTAACTATTAAGCCACATTCCCAACTCTTTTTTTAAATTTTGAGACAGGGTCTTGCTAAGTTGCTTAGGGCCTTGCTAAATGGCTGAGGCTGGCTTCAAACTTGTGACCTCCTGATCAGCCTCCTGAATCACTAGGTTTATACAAGCATGCCATCACATCCAGTGAGTTACATAAATCTTAAACTCACTTGGAAAAATACAATGCATAAGGTTGAAAGTCAGAGCCATGCAGAGAGACACAAAATTAAAATATTCCGTAGGTCATATTTGGATACACAACTGAGGTGTTATTTCCAAATATCAGACTTCTAGGTACCTACAATTCTTTTCTCCTCTCAGACACAGTGATGGTCTTTCTGAAGGTGGGTACCTTGCTGTACTCAGTAGCAACCACTGCCCATGTAAGAGAATCAATGAGAGCCCCTGATAATGAGCCTGTCCATGTGCAACCTTGACAGGGACAGCAGCATTTCCTCCCAGAGAGTCAATTCCTCCTTGGTCCACTGATGACATCAATTCTCCAGACTGAGAAGCTTTCCTGACATTCTTCCTTCTTTCTACAAATCCTCAACCCAACTCCAACCCCAGATTACTGACTGGATGCTAATGTGGTACCCTTGACAGATGTAAGACCACCAGAGGATTCATGTTCCTTGTGTGCTTGGCCTATTGGATTCCAATATTTGGTGCCCACAGAACCAGCTGCTATTCCTTGCAGAATCCCTCACATGCTGGACTATGCTCTCTAGATCCCATCAGCCTAGCATCTCCTCTAAGCACTTCCTGCCAAGACTTCCTGCCAAGATCAGCACAGTGGTTTTCATGGTGATTTTGATTAGGAGGGAGAGGTGAAGGGATGCTACCTCCTAAGAGCTAAATCCTGCCCTCCCCATACCTTCCATCTGACCTTATCCTCTTTGATTTTAATTAACACTGATTGATATTCTCCTATATGTCAGGCCATTTTTCTGGGTGTAGGTAATATAGCAATTGATAGCTAAATTAATTAAGAAAGAGTAGGAACTATGAACTTGTTCTTAATAACTGATGCTTCCCTTGATGTGCTATGAAATGGTGGAGTATATTTTTCTATTCCTTGAATTGGAGTTAAGTTGCAATCTACTTTGGTCAATAGAATGTAGCAGAAATGGATGCTTTTGCTCTAAAAGCCTAAGACTCTGGAGTCCTTGCATTCTTCTAATCACTCTTGGAACTCTGTCCAGCCACTAAATGACAAGCCCAATGTGGCCCAGTCATCCCCATTTTCCCAGCCCATAGTCAACCAAATATCAGAGAAGTCAACCCTCATCCAAACAATCCTTTAATGACCAGACACATGAATAAACTCAGCCAAGATGAGCCTAACCTGATCATACCAGAAGACTACCCAGCCAACCTATAGACTCATGAACTATAATAAATATTTTATTGTATCAGCACTGAAATTTGAGGTGGTTTGTTACACAGCAATATCTGACTGATACACCTAGGAATATTATCTACTTTCAACAACTCTGGGATCTTCAGAGAAATTAAACATTGCCTATCACCCCAGGATTTTTCCAGGGATTTAAAGCCTCCTCCTATACCTGAATAGGCCTTAGTGTCCTTGAAAGAATCCAGAAATGGATGAACAGGACCAACTCTGGCACCAACTTCAAGGGAGTACCCCTGGTTTTCTGTGCCCCATGTCTCTCCTGATCATCATGTGCCCCATGTGCTCTCCTGATCATCCTAAGTTTGCACAGCTTTTAAGTGACAAAAAGATGTGAATTCAAATCTATATGAGAAGAAAATGCTCTTTTACAATAATATAGGACTTTCCAAGGCCTCATGTAGTTTCTCTGCTCTGCCATTTTTAGGTTGCTAAAAATCAGATTACACAAAACATATAAGGTCTCTCAAAATAGCATATAGTATATGGTTTTGTTTATATGAAATTCTAAAACAGACAAAACCAATCAAAAGTGAAATAAAACAGATTATTACTTGCCTGGGGGAGGGGAGGCAGTTAGATTGCAAAGGGAAATGAGGAAACTTTGGGGGCTGATGGAAATGTCCTATATCTTGATTGGAGTAGTTATTAACTAGGTGTTTCTATTTGTCAAAAGTCATCTCTGCACTTTAAATAGGTACATTTTGCTGTGTAAAACAGTTATTACTCAATAAAATTGATTTTAAAAGTTGGGGGGGGACCTCAGGAACTCTTATTGTATTTTTAAGGTTAAAGAGAAAAAATTCAGGATGATAGTGCTTCTAGTCTCTCAGGGCTTATTCGTCTCCCAGATAGGTCTTGGTAGGGATCTCTGGGGAAGAAGCCCTCTCCACTGCCATTTCCACGGCCTAGTGGTCTAAAAGAAGCATCTCAGTAACTCCCAGCTGTCCTTGCTCAGGTTGACTTAACAGACCCACGGGTAGGGTTTCTGGCAGACATTGTCATTCCACTTGCTATCTAGGTAAGTTGGCACAATCCTTGCCTCCACCCAGCCTGTGCCCATGTCAATCATCTGGCTGGTTGGCATCCAGTTCCTGAGGGGAGAGAACAACAGCAAGCCAGGAAGGATGGGTGGAGCAGGATTTAGGTCTGGGAAGAAGGCATCTAGATCAGATTCCTGAGGAGCAGAGCTGGTTAAGGACATGGGGCACAGAAAACCAGGGGGTACTCCCTTGAAGTTGGTGCCATAGTTGGTCCTGTTCATCCATTTCTGAACTCTTTCAAGGACACTAAGGCCTATTCAGGTATAGGAGGAGGCTTTAAGTCCCTGGAAAAATCCTGGGGTGAGAGAAAGGCAAAGGTGATTTTTACTCATCCAAGCCAACTTCATAGACTAGGTACTGAACTTTAAGCATTAAGTCAATTGAGGCATTTCACATATTTATTCCAATGCTCAGGCCAATTAAATTTCTGAGGGCATGGTTCAGATGGAAATAGTTACTAAGGCTCAGGGGTGGTTCCAATGTATAGTCAAGGTTGTTAACCATTTCCCTAAATGAGACATGTCTTGGGAACTAAAGACAAGAGGTTCTACCTGATCCTCCCTAGAATTGATAACCACCAGGTGGGCATTCTTCAGCTGGTAGTACTTGTCAGCCTCCCTCCAGGACATCCCAAATTGAGAGATCCACTAGCAGCTGCCCTCATGCTCCAGCCAGTTAAGGGGACAGCAGGACTTTTCAAAGCCTGAGGGGAAGAAAGAAGAAGAGGTTGAGAAGCTGCCCAGAGGGCCACCGGCAGGAAAATGGGGACAGCCACACCCAAATCCTCCTCACCTTTGCACTTGAGATTGGTCAGTTGGAAAGTTAAGAATTTTGGTTCCTTTGGGAGTTGCTGGACTCACCGAAGCATCTCAGATTGATCTGGCACACACATAGAAGAGACAGGGACAGTGTTCTGGGCACAGCCTCTGTTGAGGGAATACCTAAGGCTAAGATACCCTGCATGGGACCCAATCTCAGAAACTTCCTGCTCTCCCATGAATATACCATGCCCAAATGCACTGTAAGAGCCATCTGACCTGCTTTAAATTCCTGCTTCTGTTTCTGCAGGCTGCTGTCCACACAGAAGCCACCTTCAGGTTCAAGCTGTGGGCTAGAGGGGAGAGGGCTCAGCACCAGGATGCTTCTCCCATGCACACCCTTCCATATGCTTTTGGAGAACAAGGTCTCTCACCTGCCAGCAGTTCCTGCCTGTGATCCTCCACCTCAGCTTTCAGAGAGGTTATGGTTTCTTGCAAGCTCTGACCTGGAGGAAACAGGGAATTGAGATCAGGAGTCAGTCCACACACACATACACCCAGCCCAGACCCCACCCAAGCCCAGCTCACCATGGGAGGTCAGTGCCTGGACATTGGCCCCTGTGTCTACACTGAAATTTCTGAAAGCTGTCCTCAGGGTGCCCAGGTCCCTGTGTAACTTGGAATCTGATGAGGGGAATGAGATGATCAGATTGATCAGGTCCTCTCTGCCAGCACAGAGCAGGACACTTTACACACTTTGTCTCATTCAGTCCTCAGAGCAAGCCAGAGGGGCAGGCACTGTGGTTTTCCAATATCACACAATAAGGAGAAGTAATTCAACTACAAAACCCAACTAATAAGTGACACAGCCAGCAGCCATTCCAATCATGGCTCCTTCACTACCACTGTTCTCATCAACCACCCAATTATGACCCCTCAATGGTGCCCCACACTGTCCCACTGTGCCCATCATTGCTTCTGCTGGGGTTCTTGCCATTATCCCCATCCCTGCCCCTCCACAGCCCCTTGATTTCTCTCTTCCCTGTGTATTCCTGGAGTACCCACTTTGGGATCTGATCACACAGATAACCACCAACAGCAGGAGACTAAGGCCCAGGGAGAACAGGATGAGAGGAGGCTCAGAGCAGATATGCCAGAGGCCAACCTGGGGTGGAGGTGCTGAAAGAGAAGAGGGTATCAGGAAAAGAGAGATCCAGGATATACCAGAGACAGAGGAGGGGGCCCAAGGACCTATCTGGGGATGAAGGCAGGGCCTGGTAATGCTTGGGGAAATGAGGAGAGGGATTGCGGGATGGAGACTACCCATGCCTTTGACCCCTTATGACCAGCACAAGTCTTCAGTCAAACAGGCTTCTCATATTCTGAGATACCCATGAACCCAACCCTAGAAACCAGACACAGACATGGATAACAGAGAAATATGAGATCTCATGGAGATGGAGGAGGTATCATCATGACCTGATCAGTCCATTAGGAGATTCACCTACATCTGCATGACCTGGTGTGCAAATATATAAGTTTCTCTTCCAAACCCACTACCTGCAATGGATACCTCTCATCCCCTCCCCATATATAACAGGAGACCAGGTCCACAGAAGTCTTCCCCATCCCTGTTTTTCTGAAGACCTTGAGTCCTCTTCACATTGGGCTCTCAGAGTCCTGGGACTGACCCCCTCAAAGTGGGGGGCCCAACATTGGACATGGTAGAGGTGAGACGTGATGTGACAGTAGAAATCCTGCTAGACATAAGAAGAGTGCATCTTAGTAGAGGACACTTCTCCTGTCCTCTTACCTTTTCTAATCTCCTGGTTTTTCTCCTCACTCCCCAAGTGCTGGAGATTTTCATACTCCATTGTCATGCTTGGACCAATGTAGTCCCTGAGGCTGTGAGAGATGAAACTGAGAGAGGTTCAGGTTGTGGGGAAGCTGGGGCCAAAAAATAGGCTGGAATCAGGGTGGGGCTATTGGAAAAGCAAGTATTGAGGTGAGAATGAGCCCAGTTTAGGACTAGTATCAAATGGGTCTTAATTTCCTACTAGGGTTAGAAATGGAATCAGGATTGGGCTTTGGGCTAGGATCAAGTTGAGTTGAGAGTAACACTGAAGGTGAAGTTGAAGCAAAATCTATTGCTTTGACTGGGCCTAAAACTGGACTGGGCTTGAGGCTATGTCATATGCCAGAATTTGGCATCAGAAGTCACCTTGGAGCCATGGATGGAACTGGACCTAAGCTTGGCACTGAACCTGGAAATAGAATAGGGCTGAGGTTCAGTTTGAGGGTGGGCTCAGTGTTGAGATTCAAGTTGGATCTGGGGTTCATGCCGAGGTTGACATTACAGGAGAAGCTGGGTTTGGGACTGAGGCTGGAGTTGGGGCTGAGGATCAAACTGGAATTGGGCCAGAGATGGGAACTGTCACTGGGGATTATGGCTGCATAATACAATCTAGAATCCAGGGACAGGAATAGAGACTCAAGTCTCCACTTGGTTGCTAAATACCACATTGCCCCCATTATATTTCTTCCCCTTTTCTCCCACCTAAGAACCAAAGCCCCCTCTCCCTGTTTCCTCTAACCCATTCCCTGTCTCCTTGGGCCCACTGGCATCCCCAGCCCAGTTACCTGTGGGAAGCCTGGAGTCTGTGATTCGTGGCCTCGTTGTGCAGCAATAACCAGAGTGGGAAGTCACTCAGAGCAGCAAGAACTAAATCCTGGAGAGTTGGGCTGGGAGGGACTATAGGAAGAGCCATGTACATGATGGGCTCCTATTGGTCTTTGTGCCCCAAAGCCCAGGATTCTGTAGTTGGGGATGTTCCTCTTCCTCAATTTGGACAGTAAATAATACTTAGAATAAATTTCAACTGGAACACAGGCAGAGATTGCATGTGGGGGAGTTGGGTGGAGGACCAGCTTGCTCTCTCTCACCCTGCAGGGTGTGTCTACTACATTTTGTTATTCCAGCTCCCCTGATTTCTTCATTTTTATTTATATGTGAGAAAGACTTGAACCAGAAGGGGCCAGGAGTACCTTTCACTCTGCCCCATCCATCCTTTCACTCCTATCTCTGAATTTCCCAGAATTCTTGGTGTCTCCATCTTTGTAGCGCCAGGACAGAGGAGCTTATTCTTTGCTTTTGTTTAATGCTAGCCTGAATCCCTCATATCTGAGCATCCTCTGAGGCCTCAACCACGGAGCTCCCCAACTCCAGACTCACTCTCCTCACTCCACCAAGAGGAAAGAAAGAAGGGGGTGGAGAATAAATAGGACGACCTGGCTAGAATGAGAGAGAAGGAGTCAGGAAAAGCAGCAAATTTTATTAAGCATCAAATCTGTGAGGGTATTATGCCAGACTCTTCCCTTCTATTAACCATTCAGTTCCCATAAGTACCTTGGGAGGCATTTTAGACGAAGAGTCAGAGACATTTTGTTACACATCCAAGATCACAAAGCACGAAGGGAGGGCTGGGGATGTGGCTCAAGCGGCAGCGCTTGCCTGGCATGCGTGCGGCCCGGGTTCGATCCTCAGCACCACATACAAACAAAGATGTTGTGTCCGCTGAAAACTAAAAAATAAATATTAAAATTTTCTCTCTCTCTCTCTCTAAAAAAAAAAAAAAAGCAGGAAGAGAGAAAAAGAGATGCTGCCAAACATCCTGAATTGGTTCTCTGCACCTGCACTGTGCTCACAAACATGCTTCTATTTCATCCCATGAACCCTGCCAGTCCCCCTAAGGGGGCTGCCCTGAGTCCAAACACACATTCCTTTTAAGAAAAAGAAACCAGAGTAGAGAGAAGCAAAGCAGATACCTTGGAGATTATATTTTCTATTTCAATTGAATTGCATTCTGGAACTTGCCTTTTTTATTATTGAATTCACAATGTATCAGGGATTTTTCTCCACATCCGTTCTCCACTGGGTTCATATGTGTTTCATTTCATCATATGTACCATCTTTTATTTGTAAAGCATTTCTGTACCGGTAAACATGTTGGTTGTTTTAGTTTTTTCGTTGCTGTGACTAACGGGTCTGACCAGCACAACTGTAGGGGAGAAAAAGTTTATTTGAGGACTCATATTTCAGAGGTTTTAGTCCATAGACAACTGACTCCATTCCTTGGGGCTCAAGGTGAGACAGAACATCATGGCAAAATAGTGTGGCAGAGGGAAGCAGCTCATGTCACAATGATCATGAAGCAGAGAGAGACTCCAACTCCAGATACCCCATATATGCTCCATAGCCACACCCAACCTGCCTCTAGTTACCAATCAGTTAATCCCATCAGGGATTAATTCACTAATTGGTTTAAGACTCTCACAATCTAATCGCTTTTCTCTGAAACTTCTTACATTGTCTTACACATGAGCTTTTGGAGGGCCCCTCATCTCCAAGCCATAACATTGGTTGTTTGCAGTTTGGTTTTGGCATGTCCTCCATAGGCCCATGTGCTTGACACTTGGTCCCCACCAGCCTGGAGTTATTGGAAGGTGGCAGAACCCTTCAGAGGTGAGGCCTAGTAGGAAGGCTTTGGCTGAACAGCGTGGGGGGTAGGGTATAGCCTCTAAGAGAGACCCCAGTACCTTCCTCTTTCTCTTTTTTCCCCCAGTCCTGAGGTGACCAGTTTCACTTTGCCACACTTAATCACTTTGTAGTCTTGATAAGCTGCCTCCCCACCAGTGCAAAGCTGTGGGGCAATTGATCATGAACTGAAACCCCTAAAACTCTGAGCTAGAATAAATCTTTTCTCTTATGAGTTTATATATTAGGGGATTTTCTATAGTGAAAGGAAGCTGACTAACACAGTGGGGTTTTGGAAGCTCATGCCAAGATGAACCTGGAGTGAGCTATTAACTAGGGATCAACACCTGGGAAAGCTTGGGGGACATGCAAAGTTGGGCCGAGGGAGACCTGACATGGTGTTAGCCAGCCACATAGGGAGTTCTGGAAGCTCAGACAGTATTGCCTCGGGAGTGGTCCAGCACTGGGCAGACAGGGGGACAATTTTGGAAATCAGATTCCCTCTTCCCCAGGGTTGTTTGCTACTGCTATTTGCTTTGGCTGATGCTGCTGTCTTTTGGCTTAGTGACTTTCCTGAAATAATTCTATAAAATCAGTATTTGTCCTAGGTGACCACTGAGATCTCTGATTCTTTAGCTTAGTAGATACCTAATGACTACACAAAGATATTCTTAAACGCCTTGGAGTAGGTCTCCCAATCTTGGCCAGGGAGCTCCCTGTACATGTTGGGCATGCCTTCAGGGCCACAGCTGTGAAAACTCTCCTTTAGCTTTCACTTCCTGCTTGTGCAAAGCCTCAGGTCAGCCAGAAGTGAGAAATGGTGATTTTCTCAGATCTTCTGGCATGTATACAGCCCTGCACATGGGCCTGGCCTTCTAGATTCCCAAGAATACACTAGAGTTTTTCAAAGCCACTATGGAAATAGCACTTCCCAACTTTTCTTTTTAATTTTTTGGTTAGCCTCTTGTTTATTCCAGCTGTTATCCCAGTCTTGAGCTGTTTTAGTGTTTAACAATTGTCAGATTGTTTTTGACAAATACCCTGGTAAAAGCTCTTTACAGTAAACAAGCTCTGAGTCGAGTACAATAAAGATGAATGTTGCAAGTGGGGGTTTCCAGGGAGCTTCCAGACAGGTCAAATAATAATTCTCCTGTAATGGAGATGTTTGGATAGCTCCAAACCTATTCTTCTCCTCCAGTTGTTAATAGGCTGCTGGTTTTCACAACCACCATAGCCGCTTGGCTATTGGTTTTCAGGGCTTCCATAGATTTGTGGGGGGGAAAAAAAAGAACAGAAATAGAAGAAGTGAAAACTACTATGAAACTCACTATTTCTATCAAAATTCAGATGCTTTTTGCAATTAGTTCAAATTTTTCAAGGCTTTGGCTAATTTCTGCAGTTCTGAAAAAAAATTATATTTTGATATTTTTTAACCTACTATTCTCATTGCTTTTTTGGAGGAGAAGATTTTTGGAAATCCTCACTCTACCTCTCCAGAAGTTTGCCTCTTATCATGAGTTTTAGGAGTTGTTTGTGTACTCTAGATTCAAGTCCTTTATTAGGCATGTGATTTACAAATATATTCTCATAGTCTGTGACTTTTCATTCTCTGGACAATGTCAGAATATTTAATAGATGTTTCTTCCACAATTAACAAGTTGCTAATATAAAGTACTTCATTGTATTTATCTTTTATCCAACAACAAAAACATATGCTCTTATTATTACTGATTCCTGCATTTATATACAGCATTTTATATCTTAGGGCTTTAGCTCCAAAAAACTTTAAATAGTACCAATGAAAGCAGGCACCCATACATTGTACTTAATTTTTATATCATTTTATTTATATTATATTCATTTTGTTGTAAATTTTATTCAAATGTAGTGTCCACTTAAAAGTACAGAGATAATAAATTTACTATTCAATGAATTTGCACAAAATGAACTCATGCAACCAAGATCAAGTTCAAGAAACAATGTTGCCAGCATCTCAGAAGCCTCTAAACTAACTTGCAGTGTTAAATACCTTCCCAAGGGTAGCCACCATGATGATTTATAGCACTATACAACAATTTTGACTGTTTTGAAATATATATATATATGAAAACTATCATATAAGAGCACACTTTTTGCTTGGTTTCTTTCAGGTAACATGATGTTTCTAAACCCATCCATGTTGTTGCATATTCACAGTTTATTCATTCCCATTGCTGCATGATTTTCCATTTCACAAGCATGGCACAATTAATTAATCTAACCAGCCATATATGAGCATTTGGTTTATTTTCAGTTTTTCAATTTTGTTTTGGGGGTACTTGGGATTGAACTCAGGGGCACTCGGCCACTGAGCCACATCCATAGCCCTATTTTGTATTTTACTGATAGGCAGGATCTTACTGAGTTGCTTAGTGCCTCACTTTTGCTGAGGCTGGCTTGGAACTCTAGATCCTCCTGTCTCAGCCTCCCGAGCCACTGGGATGGATCATAGGCATGCGCTACCAAGCCCAGCCAGTTTTTCACTATTTAAAATAATATTATCATAAACATTTTTGTACCTGTCTTTTGGTGAATTCATGTATACATTTCTCTTTTATTTATCCACAAATGAAATTGCTGAGTCATAGGATATACATAGTACATACTGCCCAATACTTTCTAAGGTGGTTACAACAATTTAAACTTTCATCAAATGTGTAAAAGTTACTACTTATACTGAAAAAAAAATTGATTTTATCTTTTCCATTTTTGACACTTTGGAGAATATTTAATGGTATCACATTGTGTTTTTTAATCAAGTTTTTAAATTTTAACATCTTTTTACTGTTTTATTATCATATCCACTACATCTGTACTTATGCAACCTCTCAGCTTTCTAAACTAGTGTCTGTGACTCCTTTTTTTCTTCTTCATATTTATTTTAGGCACCTTTTCCAAGAATCAGATTTTTCTTCTCTTGATCATATCTATATTTTTATTTTCTAGTTCATTAAGTTTTGCTCATATTTCATAAATTCCTTTCTTCTATTTGAGGGGATTTATTTGGCTATTCTTTTCCAGACTTCTTGAGTTAAAACATAGCTTATTCCAATTCAGCCATGCTCAATTTTTAATAAATGTGATGGCTTCATGTACCTCCTCCTGAGAACTGCCTAGACCATCCCACAATGTCAGCAAGTGGTGCTCTCATTC